AAAATGGGGGAGGGGGAGAGCTACAATGGATCTTTTTTTTTTCTTCACACTTATCAACAACCATATCTGGACTGGAAGAAGGCCTTGACTCTCTTTGAACCTCAGCCTTGGGTATTGGAGGTCTTTGTCATTTTTCATGTGGCTGAGGGTTTGGCGTCCTTGCCATGGCCATTTGTTGAAGGCTTTCTCCCCATATTGTAGGCACACAAAGTACATATTACTTAGTTTAAAATTCTCATTTTGGGGCAAAATTGAAACCGAAATTCTCATGCTTTGTAGTGGAAGATTTATTCATTTCTCTATTTTTTAATCTTTGGAAGTATTAAAATTCTGTCTATAGCTTATTATAGCCGAGCAGTACTTAAAATGTTAATGGGCTTTCCTTGTATGTTTTCCATTTCTCTCCTAGATTAAATTTTCCATATGAATTTCAGATCTTCAACTTTTCTTGTCTTGTTTTCTGCTTTGATTCATGTATATATTTCTGTGTTTTAGAAATTGTTCCTGTCTTCCAGCACCGAGCCTGCTTTAGATAGTGATCACAGAATGTTTCCCAGGGTCGTCATGCTCCAGCAGGTTAGCCACGAGGAAAAAAAGAAAGAAGGATGCCCCCATAGAGAGCCTCTCGTAGTAGCGTATCTTGGCCTATGTTCTGAGAATTAATATGGACCTAGTTTAGGGGTATCGACCACTGGCAAAGGACTTCGGTGAGCTGACTCTCCTGTCCTTTCAGTGTTGTCCTGAGGTCACCATCAGTGCTCTGGGCCTTTTCCTTGTATCTCTATTGTCCTGTTAAAGTCTCAGCTAACTGTGTTTCACATTATTGCTTGTGAAATGCATCGAAGCTCTGTGGTTCTGCCACTTGTCGGCTGTGACATTGGGATTCAGTGGCAGCTCCTTGGCTGTGTGCTCATTTGTGAAATGAGCTGAGGGTAACAGCATCCACTTGAAAGAACTCCTGGAGATGGAGTGTTCATCCGTGCTTAGCACAGTGCAAGTGAACACCACAGCTCTGCCTTTATTTATTATAAAGGCGGCCAGGTGCTGGGAAAGCACCAAGCCCGCTCTAGCTAGTGATCACAGAGTATTTCCCAGGATTGTTGTGCTCCAGCAGGTTGGCCAAGAGGAAAAGCGGAAAGGAAGATGCTCCTCTAGAGAGCCTAAAGGTTCTTCACAAGAGATGGGGCCTGAGGTGAGAAAGATGAAAGGAAGAGCAAGGGGGGAAAGGATCAACCCAAGGAACTCCCGTTCAGTTCCTGGGAAGTGGGAATCCACAGAAGAATCAGTGTGCAACTGACTCATGGAAAACCAGCATTCCACTAGAGATTCAGAGAGACCTGTAAGAAGGTGTTCTGAGGGTTCCTGGAAGATGGGCAGGCCGGCATGTCTCTGTCACACTTGCCTTTTAAGTTCTGGGCCATTTAAGCAAAAACCCAGGCTGCCCTTGCAGGGAACAGATTGGCCTCAGTGAACTTCTCACCTGGAGAAGAATCTGTGGAGACAGTAGTGCTAGGTCCACTGCTG